GCTAATCTATCCTGCTAAATGTGAGTTTTTTTTTTTTATTAATCACAAACTACAACTTCACCTTAAGTGAGGCTGAGGCAGCAGTCACCTGAACCCAATGCTTTCGGCCAATTCTGAGAAAAATTTGCAGTCAGGTCAGAAACAAATGAGGGGATCTGTTGATTTTGTGTGAATCTTGCACGTCTGTGAAAAACTGGAGGGACATTTTGATGTAATTTGGAGTCTTAGAGGGCCACATAAAAAGCAATGGCGGGCCAGACTTGGCCTCCATGACAGTTTGACACATGTTCTGTAGGGTGATTTGAAACAGCTTGTACCTCAAACTTCACACACCTAAAAGTGGGGAGTGAGGCCAAATTAAACTGGGTAAGGTGCTATAAATTTAAAATGACTATTTCAATAATCCTGATTCAGGATTTCAAGCTTGAGCAATGATTTTTGCCTAAAGCTGGAAATCTCAATTCTTTAAAACCTTTCTGAAATTTAGAGTACATGACTACCGAGGTATGGCGGAAGCATCGGTTCATCTGTTCAGACTGTTTGCTCCAAGACATCTTTGTATCCACATATGAAACTCAACAAACATGAATGGTATTCAAATACTGCAAGCATATTTAAACAACTGCTCTAAATGAGAACACAGCTCATGTAGAACAGCAAATTCTGGATAGAAACACCTCATTTTAGAAACTTATTGAGAAAGTTTGGCTGAGAAAAATCAAGCGGTACCCAACGGGGAAGAGACTGGGCGATTTTATCTTCGTTTTGGATTAAATTGAGATTAACAGGAGCCAGCAGCCGGCCAGAATCCAGCAGAAACTATAAATCAAGCAGCTTGCGGTGCACACGTGTGTTCCTACGGCACATCACGCCCAGTTTAGTGAACACACAGCCCGGTGGAGCTGACTGGCAGGAATGCTACAGACATTTGTCTCGCTGCAGGAGCAGACAGACATCTTCAATGACGGGAAGAAAGCCAACCTCGGCTTCACTCGGACTGTCATGTAGGTAAACACAAATATACGGAGCTGGGTGGGATCCTTTCTAAAGCGGCAAGGGTGATGAGAAGGAGAGTAAATGAAAGAGAGAAGCAAACATCGACAAACGCCCACACACACACACACACATTCAGTGAACTTCCCACGAGGCATAGCTCGGATTCTTGGGCCGAATTTGCATCACAAATATCTCGGATGGCAGCGTGCGCAGGGAGAATAAATAACGCGGAGAGGGTGCCACTTTTCTTCCCGCGTTCGTCCCGGCCCCGCTCCCGTCCATCCCAGCATCCATCCACTCGTTTTAATAGGCTGCATTCAGTGCCTGACAATGCCAGATCCAGACCAAAGCAGCACACAGACTGTGAGAGAGGGCATGTTGGCATCTTCTGGAGCTGCCACTGCGGCGAGGAGCTGGGATAGAAAGTATGCATCGTCAAATTTGTTCAGTTGTAAGACTTGTCGTTTTTCTCCAGTTCAGTTACATGGCATCAAATGACGACGTTGTACTCATATCATACAACAATACAATCCCATCTAAACCTGGACTAGAAAGTATGCATGGTTCAAGTTGTGTCTTTTTGCCCATTTTTACTAGTTTACATAAAATATTCAAAATGTTCTGCTTTAAATTTCACCAGGAGTGATGGTGACCATATAACACTGCAACTCTATTTTTTTAATAATCCAATTGCTCTAATGTTCTATGTGAACCTAATCTAGAAAGTAAACAGAGTTCAGTTTGTGTTCAGGGTTAGAGCAAACTGACCTCATCCAGCCAGACCTGTGCTAGAAAGTATGTGTCGTTCATTTTGTGACTTTTACAGTCAGTTTCAGGTCCCATTTGGACCTGAACAAAAAAGTATTCATGGCCCAGTTTGAGTTTTAAAACACTGCATTCAGTATGCATCCATAAATGCTGATCCCATCTTTCTGCTGTTAGATGTGAAGGTATGCCTTGTTGGTTTTTTTCCCGCTATCTCAAATGAAACTCTCTACATCAGTTTAAATTGATGTTTGAACTAAGGAATGCATCAAAACTGTGACCTTCACCATATTGTCCTACGTGGGCTTGAAAGTATACCTCGTTCGATTTGTCCACTTTCTGGAATCAGTTTGAGATGAATAACACATCAAATCAGTGACCTGTGCTGTAGTATCGTACACCAGAGTTAACAGGATCCTGTCCCAAAAGGGGCTAGAAAGTATGCATTGTTCACATTTTCATTTTAACAAGTTGCAAGTTCAGTGTTTAAACCTAGTTGTTTTCTGAACTCTTATGACTAAATATCAATGTAAAGTAATGATTTCATCCAAACTGTGTTTTATTCCACACTGATCCTTTCCAGACCGGAAATGGAAAGTACACATGGCCCAGTTTGTATATAAAAAAACTAAAATATATAAATATCAATTTTATAGTTTGATAAACTGAGACAGACATCAAAACTGAGCCTTCAGGGAAAAAACACTGGACCTCAAGTAGAAAGTACACATGATTCAGTTCCTGCTTTTAGAAATGTTTCTTCACACTTTATTCATGTCCCACTTCCATTTTCTAAGCTTAGCAAAAATCTGGAATCAAAGACTAACATATATCATTTTCATAGTAAACTAAAACTAGTCCCTTCCATTTGAACATACGTAGAAAGGATGTATGGTCTTATCTGTTCTAGTAAAGACATTTCTTGCTGTTTTCCTTCATTGTAGCAGCCTGCAGCTAAGATTAGCCACTGGAACCTAAATGCCCACATACATCAAAAGTGGGCAAATTTATGACAAATATCTGGACCTGGGATAGAAAGTACACATTTAAAAACATTTCATCTAGTTTTCCATCCAACTGAACAGTCAATGTTTGCACTTGATTCAATTCAAAGCTGGACATGCATGAGGCTGTGATGGTTCAAAATCATCCATTCTTTTCTCCAGTGTGAAAGAAAAGTTAAAACACATTAGTGCTTGAAACGAGTGCACTGCAAAAACAATCGATTCCAGCAGAAATCCCACTCAGGAAGTTTTCTCAGTTGACTTTTAAGCGTCACTACAGGAACATTAAGAGGAACCCAAACCTCAGAGGTTCTGATTCGCACACTTATATCACGCAACAAAAAAAAAAAAAATAAAATAAAATAAAAAAAAAAAAAACATCCGCAAGCCGCTGCGGTGGCATGAACGCACCAAGAAACTGCGCAAAAAAAAAATGAGGTGCACATTTCAGAAAACAGATTAGCGGAATGCGAGTCTGTGGAGCAGATGGAGAGGCTTTTACGCAGAGTCCCGACGCTCCGCTGCAGGTGTGAGCGGATCGGGATGACTCACATGAGAACTTGTGTTCAGTTTCAAGGAGCTGCGCTTCATCGTTCCGACGGAAGCGACGCGCACGGACGCGCAACCGTCCATCCATCCATCCAGGCATCCATGCATCCAAGCACTCACCTGACTGCGCCGCGCTCCAGCGGATCACCGCCAAAGTGACCAAAACGCACGCCTGGAACTTCATCTTTGATCCAAAGCCAGGGGAAGAAGAAGAACAAGAGGAAAAAGAAGAAGAAAGCCTCCTTGTCTTAACTCCCGTGTAACTCACATGTCCAAATTAAGATATCCTCGCTGTTCTAACGCGCTCTCTCTCTCACACACACACACACAAAAAACAGAAGAAGAGGAATAAAACGGACTGAAAGTGTCAGAATGAAAGTGTCCCCAGGTGATGTGACGGCTTCCCGCTGCGCTGGGTTTGTTTGTGGGCTCCCGGTCCGGTGTTTAGGTCGCTTTCCGCCGCGGACACTCTGAGCCATTTACTCCTCACTCTGCCATTGCGGCCGGTGCTTGGATCGGAGAGGGGAGGGGGGAGTTGAGGACGCAGCGGGGGGTGCGCTTTGGGATAGGAGGGGAAGATGAGGGGTGGGGAGGGGGGTGCTCTGCACACGCTTTTCCTGCCTAATCGACACCTCTCTCAGCCAATCACATCACACACACGCATCTAATGAGCCCAACGCGCCTCCTGATTGGCTCACAGGCGTCATTGCGGCTGTCACTACACCTGTCAGCAGCTGCTTTGTTTTGGTTCTTCTTCATCTGCATAAGTCTGATTATTAGCGCCTTATGAAACACTGGAACTGACTCCTAAAGGCGTTAGAAGTGATCGGAAGCAGGAGCATGAAACAAGGCGGAATGAGAGGAAGGCTCAGTCAAAGTAAGCAGATGTTTACTTCTGGACAACCTGACCTGAGTCCTCAGCTCAGCATCCAGGACTCAACAGACAAGAGTCGATATGGACTCACTGTGACACGAAGCTTTATTTCATGTCCACTGCTGCCCTCTAGTGGAAACAGTGAGGGATATCTCTGTCTTTATTTATTTCTTAATGATGTAAAACGTTTTGGACATACACGTGATTCAGTGTTTGTAATTTCAGAATATGAATTTATTCAGTCGGCATAAAAACTCACATGAATCATTTTAATATCTGCATATGTTTGTATATTTCTTTAATGTGATTTTAATTGAAATTATTGTTTAAAGGATCTATGAATTAGTTCAGTTCATAAGCATCTAACTTGCATATAAATGCATAAAATTTTTTGGCCGCCACATGAAGTAATATTTGTAATTTCACTAACAATATTCAGTTTGTTAACCTTTTTTTTTTGCAGATATGCAAATCAATTTTTGGGGGAAACATGTAGTGCATATAGTTTAGTTTTGCATACTCTTATTTATTATTAACTTAAATGTTGTCAAAATTTAAATATTTCTTGTATCTGATGACACAAAAATTGAATCATTTTGATTTTATTAAAAATGTTATCTTTATTCATTTTGGTGCTACGTGTTTTATTTCGATTTCCTTAAATTGACTGAACTCTGGCTGAACTTCCTCTGGCTGCGTGTCGCCAACGTGATCTGGTTGGTCTTTGCTTTGACGACCTCCAGCTTTCACAATGACCCCCTGTCGACCCCCCCGCTCTAATTTTGGACCCTGACTTTGTTCTGTCCGCTGTGTGGGACTCGGGGCTCAGATGACAGGCTGTGATCGGGACGGTGGGGAGTGGGCAGGAGCTTCATTGGAACCGGGGCTCTGCCCGTCCAGAACCAACCGCTCTGGCCGGAGAGGCGAGTCCAGAACGAGGCCCATGTTTCTGAGCTGCAGCCAGTGAAGTTTGCTTCCAGCATGGCTCTGCTCCTGCTGCTGCTGCTGGCAGGTGAGTCTCTAAAGGAGTTTCCTCTCTTATTACTCTGGCCGGCTGAGTCACTGGCCGTAGAACAACTGGGAGTTACAGAAAAACAACTCCTCAGAGGTGGAGCGGGAAGACGTTTTCAACGCAAGCTGGGCTTCATGATGAAGAAGAAAGCGAGAATGCTGCAAGAGAGGCTGGAAGCGGTTATAAGCGCCAAACACCTTCCCGAATAATTGAGCTTTAGAGCTTCAAACAGGACAGACCTCACTGTCAACAAGATATCAGTTTTATGAGACAAACAGGATGTTTGTTTGGGCTTTTACAGATAAATTCAACAACATTAGACATCAACACATGAGCATTTATTCATAAAAACAGAATGTTTGATTCCTGTTGCTTATGTATGGAAAGCCATTTGTGTATTTACTTAGTTAGCTGGAATATCTTGCAGCTAATGCTTAATGATACATAGGAGGCAATCACCAAGATTGAACAGCAAGACACTAGTTGAGCTCTCAGCTGCTGTCCTCTTGAAAACTCAACACGCTGGTCGTCCCTGTGAGGCTGCAGAGAGCTCCACCGAGTCAGAACAAACAGTCGGGCCTTATCGGGCCGCCGCAGCCCGAGATCCGCCGTCTTTCCAGATCAGAACAACAAACCTCCCCCACCCCACTCCCCCTGCCCCCTCCACGCCGTCTTTCCATTCAGCCTCGGGTCCGACGGGACGGCCGCCGCCTGCCTCCACATTAAGAAGCTGTTTGCTCTCATCTCCGAGGTAAACAAGTGGGATTGGGACTCTGATTGCAAATTAAAAATCTTTTCTTCGTGAAAGTAGCAGACTAATAGGGAAGAAACGCTCCTGGAGGGAAACGCGGAGCCCGGATGTGACCTTGTTTTGTTGCACAAACATATTCCTAATTATGAGGGGGGGGGGGAATGAAAAGGGGCAGATAACCACCGTGGCGCTTTGTGTCATATTTCCTTCATATTCACAATAACGGTTATTTTCTGCCAATCATGGAGCTGTAACAAAAAAAAAAAAGCACCTTTATGACCGGATCCTCTCTGCAGCTCACGTCGGGCCTTCAGAGTGCGGGTGTGACGGACGCCTCTACCAGAAGACGATCAACGACCTCTGCTTCGACCGCTTCCAGGAGGAGATGGTCAGTCTGGGCTCGGGAACGTGGTGCAGCTGGCCGGAAACAATGGAGTGAGTGAAATCAGAAGCAAATATTCGCTTATGTTAAATACAGTTTTTTGATAAAAACAAATTCTAGAGCACTTTCTGTGGCAAATCAACATAATTGATTTATATGAGAAAATTAGACAAAGAAGTAGTGGACCAGGAGCAGTTTCTATGGTAAATATAATCCAGTTTAAATAGTGAATAGATTAGTCAGTTGCATAGAAGAACACAGAGACCTGGACCAGGAGTACTTTCTCCTATTTTTGATAGTCTGGCTAGCTGTTCGCTTCATGGTTACATCTCTACAACGCTTTTTCTGCCTTTCCCTTCTCGGTTTCCGTCTGCTGCTTTGAGTTTTCCCCTTTTTCTCTCTCACAACACCTTTTGCTCAAAGTCAACCGGCTGCTCAGTCGGAGCCGTTTCTCCCGAATCCGTCTGACGCCACGCTGGCGGAGTGCGTGTTTGAAAGCGAAACAATGGCCTTCCTCTCCAAGCACCAGTGCTTGCCGGAGGATGAGTCAGGCAGGAGGATGAAAAGGCTCTGAAGAAGTTTCTGTCAGAACTATGTGATTTCCCTCCTGGCTCCCTGTCCTCGCCTGGTCCAGCACAAAATAATTGGTTGCTGGCGCTCTCTGTGCTGCAAAAAAAAAAAAGTACAGGCATTTTCAAGGTTTGCACTGGTGTAATAAAACTGCTGGAAAGAATGCGCGACGGCGGCACTGAAGAGAGCAAAATGAAAGGATTTAGGGAATACAAATAGGATTTCGCCAGTGGCTATATCTGATTTAACTCATATCTTCTCTTCATATCCCAGAATGAAAGAAAAGAAAAATAAACTAAATGCTGATGTTAAGCGTGCTGCAGATCGCTGTTAATAAGACTGGATGTGCCATGTTTTATTTAATGTGACGAATCAGGTGCTCTGCTTTTCGATATTTCCTGCCACGTTTCAAAATAAAAACTTGATCTCACACAAATTTGACGCGCGCCATTTTATTGATGCAAGATCAAATCCAATCGGCTGAAACTTTTGTTAGAGAGATATATTAAAAATGCAGTAGCCATAAAATATTCACAGAATGGATATATAGAAACATTTCTGTTTCCCCAGTTTTTATAGGGCTTTTTTTTAAAAGTGGGGTTCTCTGGATTAGTTTTCAGTAGGTAGCGCTTTACCTGAGGTACAATTCTCATTGAAGACTTTAGCTAAAAGCTAGTAACTCCAGACTGGATTCTATGTAAAACACTTTTTTTTTTGAAGCAAGTGCTATTTGCAAGTTACAACGTTGGGCAAAAACTATGTGCTAAGAAGCCAGCAAGGCAGAAAATGGAAAAGGATGTGAATAGTTTTTGCAAATATATGAGCCCCCAAAAAACACTCTGCAATGTAAATTTTCCTGATCCATTTTCGATAGACAAGCTATTTTAAAACATGGAATGAGGGCAACTTTAATTCCTGCACCCCATGTAACACAAAACAAAGCTTTAGGTCAGTCATTTTTGGCTAACTTCCTGCTCCAGCTGTAAAATGCCCACAGCAGAAACAACAATAAAAGGAATAAAGGCATAAACGAGAAAACATATGATCTTTCTAAACAAAACAAAAAACGCTGCTTTAGAGCACAACTTCAGAGAGCAGAGACAGCAATGTACTGTAACAATCAGAAACACATAGTGACAGTGAAAAGAACTTAGCTTACAAGGCTAACGAAACTTAGCTAACGAAAAGAAAGCCACTGTTACAATTTTACAAAACGACTTCACCTGTAATACAAAGGAGAGCTTCAGGAAGTCAGCGGACGCATTTCCGACCGGGCTCCTAAGAGTCCTTGAGAGCGCCGGGTTCCGGTCGGCCTCAACGCCGCTGCCGGAAAATGCCGAGGAGCGTCAGTACGTCACGCTCACCGCTAAATCACCACTGCCATCTACTGGCGGAAGTAAGTATGAGCTCAATTGGATGAGGCTGGAAAAATCCCATGTATAATAACCAACTGAGATTTATCTCAGAAAAATTAATAAGTGTAAAATACTGAAACCTGAGTGCCACATTATCCATCTAAAGATAAACTTTTTTTTATTTTGAATAGAAGATCTCTGATTTGAAAATAACAGGGAATATTGAGGGAAAACAATAAAATCCAAAGGGCTCTGCATAGATCGGTGGGATCCCAACCAAGATGGGTTCTTTGTACTCAGTAGACTTAGCCAAGTTCATTGATACTCAACATGACCACATTCCTAGAGTTGAGTGATGCATTATGGACAGACTGATGATGTTCTGGCCACTACTTTGGCTCAATCCTTTGCTTATCTGACTCCATTTTTTGATAGCGATGGTAGTAGAGGTGGAGCTGGAGGAGCCAAAGGGGTTTGAAAATCCCCTGGTCAAAGTTGAACCTTTAGGCTTTGTTTTGACAAACCTAAAGGTTATTTGATACTTCTTCGGAGTATCAAAGAAGTTCTATTGCAGTCAAGATTAAAAATACTAGAACTTGAAGGAGATTTCCAGGGTGGGCCTGGCACTTCTGAGACAATGTCAAGGGATCTGCACGCCAACGTCAATGATCTCCTTAATCTTCTTGATAAGTCCTCTGCATCCAGAGTTGTGATTATGGAATGAAATCATATCATGCTTGTTTCTGTTTCTGCCACAGATTGAGAGTTTGCTTTTCCTCACTTCTACCCCCTAGATCGTCCTCAGACGCAGTCACACCTCACCCAGAGAAGACTCTCTCTCTCTCTGGGATGTCGCAGTGCTCTAAAGAGCGCGTGCCTCAGTTGGAATGCATCTCCATTTCTTTTGCCCTCCACCAACCAAGCAGTTATATATAGCTCTGTTAAGCTCACTGGTAATTCTAGAAACTCTTCAGCTCTTTCTAGTCCACACCCCCCACCTCACTACCATCAGGAATCCCCTGCTGCTCTTTCACACTGAGAGGAGGTTCAAAGACATCAGGAGAGAATATTTCAGTCCAAAGACTGTAAATGTAAAATTCAGACTCATCATTTTAGATTTGAACTTGAGAGACTTGATCATCCCTCGGACGTTTGAAAGTTGGGTTAATTTAAGTGTTTCATCTAAAGTCTTTGAGCACATATTCACTGGTGTGTGTGTGTGTGTGTGTGTGTGTGTGTGTGTGCGTGTCATGGCTTTTGCAGGATCTATGTGGGACTGACTAACTGCACCTGCCAGGTGGCCTTGGGGATGGACTGCTTCTGGCCCAACCGGCTGGTGGACGACTTCTTCATGAAGATTCATAGCACGTACTTCCACCGCTGCGCCCAGACCGGCCGGCTCCTCCACGAGCCGTCAATCGGCATCCTGGCGCCCTTCATCGGAGTGTCGATGCTGATCGCCCTGCTCATGACCGCAGTAGTGGTTTGGAGGAGCAAACGCACGGAAGGGATGCTGTAGAGGCGGTGCAGGAGGTTGAGTTGGTCTCAGGACTTGGAGATGGACTCAGAGCATCATGAGCCACAGACAGTGAACTTCATGGACTTGTTTGTTTTACTCTGAAAGCTCTTTTGTATGATTTTGTGATTTCCAGTCACGGCTGCAAGGCAAATGTTGGGATTGGCCTCCGATCTGCGGCTATTTTTAAAGAAGTGACGAAAGATTTTTCCTGAAAACCGTCCAAAGTCTTCCTCATTTAAAGGCATTTATTTGGCTGATTAGAGTAAGAGTGACTTCAACATCACTCTTTCACAATGGCGGACTGATATTAGCTGTCAGTTCTGATCTAAACGAAGTCAGAGATGGTGTTTATGCGTAGATCTATCAATATATCAATAAAAAACACAACAAAGCAGCACAATATGCAGACAAATACAAAGAAATAACTGTATGTATACAGAAAAACAACTTCAGACTGCCTCAATTAGACACACTAATTTTCATATTTAGCGTTTAAAATATACATTGTGATTGTCCAGTGTCTGAGCGTGTAGCATTCTTTCAGTTTCTGCATGCTGGTTTTGTTAACGATCTAGCTGCTTTTCTTTCTTTCTTTTAAAAGTATTATTTTTGTGAGTAGTGCTTTAGCATTCACTGTGTGGAAGTCCAAAGCGCAGGAGGTTTCATTCAGACGAGGGCTTGCACGCCAGCATGCCGAAATAGTTCACGGTCACCATCACTTCGGTGTCGGGACAGGATGCATTCATGGCTGTCAGTAACCTGAAAAAGAAAAAAAAGGCTTAAATCTTAATTTCAACGGGTGAATTAAAAAAAATGTCAAAAATAAAGTTGATTCTGCTTTTTTATTTTTTATTTTTTTGAAGAGACAGAAACCAGAAGTTGACTTAAATGTTAATGTGGTGTCAGTAATTAAACACAATGACACACTTTTTCCTCCCCCCACCGCCATGCATGTAAAAGCCATGCCTCAGCACTTCTACATACATTGTGCTTGCTTAGCTGTTCCCCCCTCCCGCCTTCGCGCCCCGTCCCTGGCAGGGGGAATTAATGACAGTTGTGTTATCGAAGCGGCGGAAACCTTCGACAGTTGAGCTTAGTCAAGCAATGCTTGGATTTTCTGATTAAAGGCCAGGACTGCGACAGTACTCACAGACCCATCTCAGCAGTTTTTGATGATGATGGATGAAGGCGAAGGCAGAGAGTGTGAGAAGATAGGTGGAAGGTATTAGCGGTGATATCTCACTTGGTCAGGATTCTGTTGGAGAGACGATCGGCTTCAGAAGGGTCCTTCTGTTTCAGCTTCTGGTAGCTGGAGAATGTCTCCACCATGCCTATGAATCCACTCACTGGAAGGGTCCTTCTCACTGGATGACACTCAGTCCTACAGAGACATTCAGGAGTGTCAGTCTCGAAATACAGTTGGCCAACAACAAGCGTGTCGGGACGGCCTCACCATTCTTTGTCAGGGTAAGAACAGGAGTTAAACATGTCAAGGTAAATCTTCCTGGAGCTTGGTCCTAAATAAGAACTTCGGTAGGGAAGCAGGGCAGCGTAGAACTGGTGACAGAGATCAACACATCTCTTAGGACCAGCTGGTGGTTTTTCTTTATACATGTTTGAACACTAAAGCTCCTTCTCCACCTGCAGGTCGTAAACTAGTTTTGCTGACATTTGAGTGTCAAACTCAGCTGCTGTGGGGTTACGGCCTTTTCCAATATTTCCAAAATAATGAGGAACACAATGCCAAAGGAGATCCTCTCAACTTGACAAAAATCAAACCAGGTGTTACCCAGCAAGAGGGAAATTTGTCAATGGAGAAGGGGCTTTAGTCCTCTTTCATTAATGCAACAATGGCTAACTTCTAATATCTGGACCGGACCTCTCGGCAGATGTCGTTCAGGACGTTTGAGACTTCTCCGTATTCCAAGATCATGTCCATGGTGTAGCTCAGGAGAGCTAGGCAGCCTCCAGGTCTGAGCACCCTGTCAGCCTCCTGGAGGAACCGCGGCCGGTCGAACCAGTGGGCCGCCGTCATGGCCGTCACAAGATCCACCTCTCCTGATGCAAAGGGTATCTCCTCTGCAGGGCAATGTCTGCGGTCAGATAATACGAGAGTATTATCTGACCGCAGTTTCCAGAAATCTGTAAAGAAGGCTAAAGAGCATTGTGAGCATTGTTCTAGTTATTTAGCACACAGGAATCAAGCTGTGTGCTAACTTTGTAGAAGGAAGCTGAATGTTAAAAAAAAAAAAAGTTCTTCTTGGTCACCTGTACGAAATGTTTGGTGGGTTGCTTTGGCTAGTGCTCTTTCTACCATAGCCCGGCTGATGTCCGTTCCCACCACCCTGGTGAAGTGAGGAGCCAGAAGGACTGTCCCTTTCCCCGGACCACAGCCCACATCCACGGCCAGCTTGTACCGCTGTTGTCTCTGAACGGAGTCAAGATAAAGATCTTCTGACCTTTTCACTGGCCGTCATTTTAAGCAGTACTTAATATGCTACATTTAAAAAGTGCACACAGTTTTCCCTAGAACACCCTGTGATTTGGTAGTACACTATTTCCATCCATCACTAGAGGGAGCTCATGTTTCACCAGTGGTTCATGTTCCTCAGCATGAGGCACAGACAAAAGTAACAGAAGACAATTCATTATTTCTGCTTTAGATGTTATAGTAAAAAAAAAAAAATACGAGCATTTGAGTAAAGAGTTGATGGTTCCATTCTGAGATGCTGTATGGCGGTGGTATGAAATGCAGCATAGGCCTACCTTCTGCTCCATGTAGCTCATTATTTTGCTGATCATTTCATGGGGCGTCACTCTGTACTGCAGGTAGGAGTCTGCGTGATCTTTCCCCTCAAAGAGCCGCACGGCCATCTTTTAAAAGAGCAATAAAAACCAGAGCAGACAGGGGGGAGAAAAAAGAAAATTAAAAAAGAAGAGAAAAGCCACCTCACCAGATTGGAGAACAAATGGAATGTCAAGTTCCTGAACTCAAGAGACAAGGGGTGATCATAAAACAAAACCAGGAAGGAAGCAGAGCTTCAAGAGAAAGTTGGAAGGTTTCCACGTCAATTGGAGATCTGTGACTCGGCAGTAAAAGCGTGCCTGTGTTCAACCAGCCAGTTACAGATTAACGGACTGATTTCATAACTATATATGACTCATTAACTGCAGGATGCTGACAACTGAAAGGTCAGAACATTTGAAGTGGAGGTGAAGAGGCCCATTTCCCTCTGGAGTGAGGTTTTCTTTTTCCAAACGAACCTCTTCACTTCATGTTGAGGGACCAGAAAAGTTTTCTTTAAATATCTCTTCAAATACATCATCTACCCTGGTTTTTATTTCGTCCATCACAAATTGCACTATTAAAATGTTGGTGAAAATCAAAAAAGGCGGAAATCATTCATGCATTCATGATTATTTAATCTCCACATCCAAAGACAATTGATACAGAGTATATATATACTCACGACACAAAGCAATGGCATGATTCATTCGGTGAAAACATACCCGCTTGGTGAGGCCAAACATGTTCTTAGACTCCGAGATCTTTCAATCAATCAATCAATCAATTAATCAATCAAGTTTATTTGTATAGCACAGTTCCAGAAAAATGATGTCAAGCACTTTGACATAATTTTTCTGGTGATATTATTACACGTTAGAATATTTCTCAGTTTCATTTCCAAGGATATGCAATAGCATGTACTTGCATTTAAATGTCAGCAGATGGCAGCAAATGCACATCTGAGTACATTTCTACAAACCTGAATGAACAGGGACTTGTGTGATTCCTGTCATATGGGTTTGATGATTTAAGAAAGATTCTAAATGTTTTTGCTCCATTTGGCAAAGCATATTTTTGAATTCCACTTTTTTTTAAAAACGTGAATTTTGCTCTTTTAACAAATTGAAGCACCGATCACTCAGATCCATTTGATCAATATTGTCCCGTCAAATATGATTTGCAGCAGAAAGTGGGAGCGAGGGGAAGGTGTAGGACGTCCTCTCCACAACCCTTCACCCCCCTGCAGAGCCCTTCCCTCCCCTCCCCTCTCCACCTTCCATGCCTCATGCCTCCTAATCAATCAGCTTTGATCAAACCTGTCAGCTGCAGTCAAGTCTTCGTTCACAGCTGGGCGTGTGTGTGCCGGTGGAGGTGAGTCCTGCTTGTGGAGGACAAGCCTGTCAACACGTGTTTAAGCAGACATGACCAATGCATCACCAAGGCCTCACCAGCCGAGTCTCATTACAGCCTCTCTGCAAAACAATTCTGCAAACACACGGGAGCCATAAGACAAAAGTTAATGGACTCCAGCGTAGCAGCACCTTATATAGCTTTAATATCTGCAGGCACATAAAAACGAGAAGGTGGGGTGGGATGGGGGGTTGGGAGTTGGGAGTGTGACGAGCCGTGTTGCTAATGCTCCGCGGGGGAATTCTCCTGGAAAGCAATCACACAGGTAATCCACACTATATGAGAGAGAGAATTATTACAAATACTGGATTTAAAAAGCAGGCTTCATGAAGACAGGTGGAAGGGGGAAACAGTTGAAAGTTGTGGATCGTGGAGGAAGAGATAAACGAGCGTGCTGCTGCATGCATAAGCATTATGCATGAGAGGAAGAAAAAAAAAAACAGATTTCTCCAACAAAAATAAATGCAGCGTCGACCTGCACGCTGATTTCATTCCTTCCTCTGAGAGACCAGCACAGAGACATGTAGGCCTGGAGGGTGGTGGGGGGTGGAGGGGTATTCAGTGCAAAAAAAAAAAGCCCACTTTCCTGCAGAAATCTCAGCAGGTAGAAGCAGATTGCAGCTGTTGGATGAAATCCATGAATTTACAAAACAGTCTTGCTGTCTCATTGAAAGCCATGTAATTTGGTGGGGGGAGGGAAATGTCACGGGTTTTCGGATGGCGGACCCCCGAGTCCACAAACGCAATCTTCTTCTGTGAAGAACAACCTTGAAATGGAAACGGATGACAAGCATGGTTGTTGTACCTCTTGAGCTCCTGGCAGCGGTTTATTGATCTGAATAAGCACGTTAACATAAACTGGTAAGATATAAAGTTTGCTCTTCAAAACCTAATTTGCTTGTTTTGCCAAAAGAGAAGGTTGTAGCACTCTTAAATAATCAATGCACTTCGCGCCCATCCCAGTTTGACGTTATTTCATTTGCTTCACACATAGAATGTTCATACAGTTTTTGAAAAGTCTGCGAAAAGTAAAATTGTGTGAAGAGAAAAAGGTGCGTTTTTTGGAATCTGTGTCTTAATAAAGTCTAAAAGTAAAAAAAATTTACTTTTGGAAAATTACAGGGCTTTTTATGTTGATTTATGTTCAGATGATGAATTTTGTTTTCTATCTTCAGGTTTCAGCCAACTCGTTCTCCCTCCTTTTTGTTGATTTGATCAAATCTGCCTGGATGCATACCAAGTGATTTATTCCACTAAGTCATAAGCGGACAACGGACGAGAATTAAAAGTGTACAAAAGTCTGGATTCTCACCAGTATTTCATATATATGGCAAACGAACTGTATAATGTCAGTATTTTGCCAATTTAGTCACTAGAAACAGAATGAATGTTTAAGGTACTTTCTTCCAACAGGACACGGTCTTCTTGTCTCTTAACAGAATCAGCTTATTAAAGGTTTGTGAAGACACTAAAAAGGGAGCCAAGTCTTTAATTTTTACGGTGGCGCTGGGCATCGTGACAAACTGTGTTTCCAATCTCTGGCAGGATATGAAGATCTTAAATCTCGGCCATAAAAACTTCACTCCACACTTTCTGCTTTTCCTCGCAGCCCAGTAGTAAAGAACAAAT